GTTGTGCCCGTGGTCGTGCTGGTGGTGGTACTGGTGATCGTATTGGTGGCTGGTCGTGCTGGTGGTCGTGCTCGGGGGATGGTCGTGCTGGGTGGTCGCGCTGGTTGTCGTGCTGGTAGCCTTGCCGGGTGGTCGTGCTGGATGGTCGTGCAGGTTGGCCGTGCCGGTGGTCGCAGTGCAACACCAGATTCGTTCAGGAATTCTGGGGCCAAAGTTGGGTCTCGCACCGGAGTTAAGAAATCCATCGAAGTTGGGTCTCAATTTCTTAACAGAAGATTTCTTAACACAAGTTTTGAGTGTATCATCCGCAGGGCTTCGCTCCCTGCCGCTGGCCCCCTCTCTATCAGAATGGGCCATGTCAGAGCTATGCTGGAGTTCCTTTGCGCCGTTGCGAAACAATGTCGGAACCTCCTGCGAGGGCGAATGGTGAGCGGCAGACACAGGTTCAGAACGCATTGTAGTTGAAGTCTGTATTGTTATTCCTGGGCTTCTTGTCGTGCCATTTGCAGCGGAGATTCGGGGGTTGCTTGAGGCTACGTTGGGCAGCGTCGCGTGGCTTTGGCTGCCCCCTTGGCATGCCTCTTGGAAGCCTGTTGGGCCGGCCTGGCAGCCACATGGAGCCCTCTTTTGCCTTCGCGGGGCTGGAAGCTCAAATCTTTGGTTCGCGGTCCCGCTTTGGACGGCTCGTAGTGCCATCTTCAGGAATTTTTGGGCCGTTTTGGGTGCCTCCTGAGCTGTCTTGGTGCCCCCTGGGGCCGTCCTGGGGCTTTCCTGGAGGCTTCTTGGGCCGTCTTGGGGCGGCCTTGGCTTCGACTGCGCGGATGCGTTTTTTTTATACATGTTTTTTGTTTCTGTTCTTTCTTTTTACAGAGCATGGCTTCGAAGACGAGAATCTGCGGTCGCGCGCGAGGGAGCGTAGCCTCCAAGGCGAGATCGCGGTGTCATTTACACGGGCTTATGGCTCCGGGGACGCGGACATTGTTTAATTGTCGAGGGTGTATGGCTTCGGGGGCGCGAATATTGTATACTTTAAAAAGGTTTATGGCTTCGGGGAAGCGAATGCTGTGATTCAAGAGAGCTTATAGCCTCGAGGACGCAAGTTTTGCATATTTTGCAACGTTGTAAGGCATCGGGGATGCGAATATCGTGTAATTGTTGTGGGTTATGGCCTCGGGGGCGCGACTACGGTGTAATTTACGAGTTTCTATAGCTTCGGGGACGCAAGCACCGGGTAATTTACAGAGGTTTGTGGTTTCGGATGCACGAGCATTGCGTAACTTAAAAGGGTTGATGGCCTCGGGGACGCGAATATTCATTAATTTACTTGGGCTTATGGCCTCGAGGACGCGAATATTTTACGTAGTACCCCCCAGATGAAGATAAGAGTGGGGAGACGGTGGGGACGTCGGCAGTTCGCGAGACTCCGGACAAGCCCGCCGCAGGCGCCAAAGTTTTACAATTTTATGCAACGAGCCCGCCGCACGCGCCGATTTTTTCGTTAAACCCATGTGGGTCGCTCGCGGGTGGGTCGCAAATGCTTCGCGGGTGGGTCGCGGGTGGGTCGCAGAAAATGTTTAGTATAAACGCACACAAGGAATGAACCGAACTGGGCAGGGTTGTTCAGACAACGCCCAGGGCCGTTGTAAAAAACGGCGAAAAAATTGTCCATGTGGTTTTTCCTCCTTTGAGGGTGGGTTGCGGTGTGGGTCGCGGGTGGATTGCGGGGTGGGTCGCGGGTGGGTCGCGGATGGGTCTCGGATGGGTCGCGGGGTGGGTCGCGGGTGGGTCGCGGGGTGCGGGTGGGTCGCGGGTGGGTCGCGGGTGGGGTCGCGGGGTGGGTCGCGGGTTGGGTCGCGGGTGGGTCGCGGGTTGGGTCGCGGGTGGGTCGCGGGTTGGTGGGTCGCGGGTGGGTCGCGGGGAGGGTCGCGGGTTGGGTCGCGGGTGGGTCGCGGGTTGGACGACGACAACAACAACAGCAACACCAACACCAACAACATTAACACCACCACCACCAACAACAACAGCAGCTGCAGCAGCAGCAACAACAACGCAGCAAGCATGATTCCCACCACGAATTCCTTATTCTGCCACGCACCCAAAGACAATGAATGACCGTTCGGCCCCCTCATTCTGATAATTGACGAAATTTTATGGCTTCGGTGACGCGAACACCGCGTAATTTACAAAGGGTTTATGGCTTCGGGGACGCAGCAATTTGTTGATTTACAGAGGTTGCTGGCCTCGGGGACGCGAATATTGTGTAATGTATGAGGGTGTCTGGCCTCTGGGGCGCGTGTCACGTAGTTTTACGTGTCCCACGGCCTCCCTGGAAGTCTGCGAACCCTGGAGGGGCGTGGCAAAATTGCGTTGTTCGGCTCCCCCCCGCGCGTTTAGTAACACTTAACATGTTGAAGCAGAAAGTAGAGCCATCACATTGGAAACTGGAAACGGCAACTGGCGCAGGGAACAGCAAATGTTCGCCCCACAGCCTGGTGGCCCCACAAGGGGGCCAGTGAATTCCACCATTTTCCATACTCCTGACTTGGACCTGAACTGTAACGCTCAGAGCCTGTCGCCGACAGCCCGCAGTCGTCGATACACACTGGAAGTGGTACGCGGCCTTAGGCAGCTCGAACAGACGAACAGATCCAGGAGGGGAGTCAGAAACTCTTGTATAAACAGTGTCAGCGAACGCCCAAGAGCATTTCCCAGCCGAGCATAGTAATGACCATCCATTCAGAGAGCGAAACAAAACGGGGCCCACGATACGCAGGGATAACCAGCCTGGATAAAGTTGGTGGAAGCCTATCACGTCAGCTCTGCTCAACAGGACATCCAACGGGACCCTTCTCGTAGATTTTGAATATATGCCACAACACACAAATTGCAACTTCTCTTCTCCTGACTCCAAGCTCGCTGCGCAGCGCTTGACGCCAGACGGCCTTTCTGGCTCCGGTGAAGGTGCCAGCAGCTCAGTCTGGTCTAGGGTCATTTGGGCTCTCAGGCGCATCGGGCTTACGTGTTCTGTCACAGGTTTTGTACGTTTAATTGGACAACGCATGGGGGTCGGACTTGCACCATCAGTCGCTCGAGCAGAAAGAGAGCGATCACCTCAACCTGCCTCGGGTGCATAGGCGTGCACTCCATGAGGTTAACGAGGATGTAGGGCACCAGGAGGAGAGGCTTCGAGAGAGAGGGAGAGAGAGATAAAGAGAGACACGTCTGCCGTGAACACAATCAGTTCCCATTGCCGAACATGTGTTGTAAAACTTGGAGTCAAAGCTGGTAGTCTCAGAGCTGATGAGTGTTCAGGGTCTCTTGGACCTCGGTCGGAGTCTCGTCGGGCGCACGATTGAAACTCCCCCACAGACTAGCACATCGGTGAGCCTCCGAAGCCAAGAGAGAACGGGGATCTGAAACGATTTGGCCATGAGAGAAGACGGAGGAGGAATGGGAGGACGACGGGGTGGGGAAGGAGGTGTTTGAGGGAGAGGATAGGGGAGGCGAAGGAGACAACGACGACGACGACGAAGACGACGATCACGACGACCACGACAGTTGTGGTCGTCGTGATCGTCATCGTCGTCGTGGTCGTGGTCAGAGTCGTGATCGGAAGCGAAAAGGAGAGAAGGGCAGCCAAAAGTGGGCTCCCCTGAGGTGTTCGCCTCTTGGGGGGTGCATTAGAAAGCTCGGAGGGCACTTCGAACCGCCTTGGGGATGTCTTGGGGCATTGTAGATGTATTTCGGAGACTAGACTGAACCATCTTGAAGTATCTTGGGTAATAGTGGAGGCCATCTCGGGACACCTAGAGCCCACGTGGAGCCATCTTGGGCGCTCTACCCCCTCGCGGGGCTCCCCTTCCAGACCCAGGGGGAAGGGGAGGCGGAGGGGGAAACCCCTTCCCGAGGAGGAACAGGGGGTTGAAAGAAGCAACGCCCTAGACCCTGCGCCTAGAGGGCTGGTGTGATTGACTTCGGCCAGCAAGTGATAGCCTTCAGCCAGGGTGCATATCGTTGCGTGCTGACGCTGATGGAAACGCAAGGGCCCGTACAGCACGCCGAGGGCACAGCCGAGAACGTGCCTCGCAGAGGCTTGCTACGTACCCTGGCACACCTATCCAGCCGCAGTCTGCTACAATTTTACCATCCGCAGAGCGCCCTGTGGCAGAGGGGGGAGGAGGAGGAGGAGGAGGAGGAGGAGGAGGAGGAGGAGGAGGAGGAGGAGGAGGAAGAGGCAGAGGAGGAGGAGGCGGAGGACATGCCGAGACTAAAGACCCCGGCTGGCGCAGCCCGTCCCCCGATTGCGGCCGTTGGTTGTTTGCCGAGCGCCCTTCCCTGACGCTAGCCAGCGGAGGCGCTCGGGGAACCTGTGCCTGGCACTGGGTGCTTGCGCCGCACACGTCCAACGACCGCGCGGACTGCGGCCCGCTCGCCGCCGGGGAGGAGAGGGCCTCCGCGAGAAGGCGCGACTCCAGGCCCACGCGGCGAGGCGAGGGCGGCCGAACTGTTCCAAGCGGACGCCCCTGGCGCGGCCCCCGCACATACGAAGGCTGCCTGTCGGACGGGGCTAGGACGAGGATCAGTCCGTTCCAGAGCGTTCCAGAAAGCTCTGAGACGGTCGCGGCGCCCGAGGCATCCTCCAGATCAGTCGAAGCTCAATGATTTTGAAAAGTTGCTTCACCCGAGTTGATCTTCGCCCTGGCTTCGTCCTAGCCTGCGACGCGCTCTGCCGTCGGACGCCCGCCAGCCGCGGTCCCCCGACCGCGCCAACCGCGGAAGAGTCGCGCTGGCGGAGCCGCGCTGGCCCGCTGGCCCGGCCGCCCAGCGGAGGAGGAGGAGGAGGAGGAGGAGGAGGAGGAGGAGGAGGAGGAGGAGGAGGAGGAGAAGGAGGAGGGGGAGGAGGAGGAGGAGGAGGAGGAGGAGAAGGGGGAGGAGAGTGGCCCAGCCCCCCTTTGCGGGGCGAGGGGCGGCGGCTTTGGATGGGTGGCCACGGCCAAGAGGAGCGCCTCGACGCCTTCCAGGCGGACGCCGCGGACGTGGAGAGGGGCCTGGCCGAGAGGCCCCCCATTCGCCCCCGACCTCTCCCATGGGCGGCGGAGTTCGGCAGAAGCTCGGAGGAGTAAAACAGGTACCCATGTCGCTACCCTTCGCCTGCTTTTTTACATTTTGGGGGGCCTCCTGGGAGGCCCTTGTCGCCTCCGCTGGATCCGCTTCGAAATTCTGGTCAGAGCGCACCCGGGAGAGGTCTGCAGAGTAGCGGTATCGGTACCTTTTAGTTTCCCTAGAAGCCCCATGCCAAGTCGATTGGCGAAGACCCGTTTTCGGTTCTCGAGAGGGCGTCGCGGCCGCAATGCTTACGGGCCTGCGCACGCAAGTTCTGGTCCCAGGTCATTCTCATTGGAGGGTGGTTTTGCTAAATGTGCTGCAGTCTGCCGCGCAGGTCTGCCGAGCTGCTGCTGTATGTCGTGTTGTTCTGCTGTGCTCCTGTGGTCCACGGTGCTTCTGTGGTATTCCGTGCTGGTTTGCCGTTTTGTTGTGGTCTGCCGTGCTAGTTTGCCATGCATCAGTAGTCTGCCGTGCAAGGCTGCCGTGCTCGTGGTTTGCCGTGCTGATCTGGCCTGCCCTACTGGTCTGCCGTGCTCCGATGGTTTGCCGTGCTAGTCTGCCGTGGTCATATGGTCTACCGGGTTGCTTGTTCACCCCCGAGTGGGGAAGCAAAAGAGCATCAATGACCAGCCGCTGTGTAGAGCTCGTCAGCGTCTCCCTCCTTCGGCTTTGTCCGAAGGCCTGGTGATTCCTCGTCAGTGACACGCTGATGGCTTTCCCTTGGCGGTGTGTCACTGATCTTGTTCTTGCTCCCCCAGTCAGGGCGCTTGCCGAGAGGCCTCACCCTCTGCCGGCGTCGCGCAGAAGGGGATGGCGGAAGGGGCGCGACCCTCTGAGACGGCACGGGCGGCTCCGTGGACGCCCCCCCCCCGCATCCCCCCGCCTCCTGAGGCCGCCCTCTTGGAGGCCTCCGAGGCCTGGCGTCTGCAACGCCCCTTGCCTTCTCAGACCTGAGGCGGGGGCTCATCCATGACCACCGCCTGTTCGGATGCGGATCTTGCAGGATCCTGCAGGGCCAGGGTCGCACTGACCCAGGTTTGGTTGCAGGATCCTGCAGGATGTTGCAAGATCCTTCGCACTGACCCGAGTTTGGGTGCAGGATCTTGCAGGATTCTGCAAGGCTTGACTGACCAGGTCTGGATGTACCTGGGTCAGAAGACCTCCGACCCAGAGGGCCTCGCTTTTGAGGATCGAGGGAGTCGGCATCGCTCTTGACATCGCTCGGACGTGTGCATTTTTTCCCGGCGAGGACCATTGAGGAGCATCCTGGATCACCTGGCAAACAAAAAGCACGCACGGAATCGAACAATGCATAGGGAATGGGAGTCCGAGCGATGGCGAGGGAGTTGGCATCTCTTCTTCGGGCGGAAGGCTGGCGGAAGGGGGCGAAGGTAAGACGCGGCCGCCTCCGCCGGCGGAAGCTCGGCGGAAGGCGGAGGAAGTAAACATCTGCGTCCTTCGGAGGATCCCGCCGCATGGCCGATGCATGGCCGATGCGGAGGACAGCACGACCCGCCCCCATCCCCAGCTCGGGCCCCCACTCTCAACCTGGTTATCCAGGGGTGCCGGGCTGGGGGTGAGGGTGGTTTGTCACGGTAGAACCCACCCTGACCCCCAGCCAGGCCCACCTGGATCACCAGGTCGGGAGTGGGGGTCCTGGCTGGGGGTGGGGCTGGGTTGTGCTGTCCTCAATGATGTCCAAGTAATCCCACCAGCCCTTTAGGGCGTAGGTGGTCTAGGGAGCTTCCTCTTCAATCCCCGTCTCCCCCTTCGGGGAGGGGTTTATCATTGTTCCCTCTTAGTGAACAACCCCTCCCCCACCCGGCCGGCAGCCAACCCCGAACCATGTGCACACCATGAGGGCAACCCCCCACCATCCCTGTCACAAAAACAACACAAAACGCACTCTACCTCCAAATTCGGAGCATGCGCAACCAACCCGATACGCCCCCCCCCCCCCCACCATCCTTGTCAAAAACAAATATACAGTACCTATACGACCACCCTTCGGGTGATAACGAGGTTCGGGGGGGGAGGAACCAACGTCTCATTCGATCGGTCTCACTATCGATCTCACTATCGATCTCAGTATCGGTCTCGCTCGATCGATCTCCCTCGATCGATCTCACAATCGATCTCACTCGATCTATATCACAATTGATTTGACTATCGATCTCACAATCGATCTCATAATCGATCTCACAATCGATATCACTTTCGGTCTCACTATCGATTTCACTATCGATATCACAACCGCTCTCACAATCAACGTCATCATCATCATCATCATCATCATCATCATCAACAACATCAACAACATCAACATCAACATCATCATCACCAACATCATCATAATCGGGGCACCGTCCTCATCATCAACACCAACATCATCATCATCATCATCATCGTCATCATCACGGTCATCAACATCATCGGGACACCACCATCATCATCATCATCATCACCATCATCATAATCATCATCATCAACATCATCATCATCAGCAGCATCGGGACACAGTCATCGTAATCATCATCATCAGCAGCATCATCATCGGGACACCGTCATGATCACCATCGTTGGCATCATCATCATCATCATCGGAACACCATCATCATCTCATCCTCATCATCGACATCATCATCATCAGCATCAGCATCATCAACATCATGATCAGCATTATCATCATCGTCGCCATCATCGGGGCACCATTATCATCATTAACAACATCAGCATCAACATCATCATCATCATCACCATCGGGACGCCATCATCATCAACATCGTCACAATCACCATCATAATAATCATCATCATCGGGACGCCAATCATCGTCACCATCATGATCATCAACATAATCATCATGATCATCATCAACATCATCATCGGGACACCATCATCATCATCATCGTCATCATCATCATCGACATCATCATCATATCATCATCATCGGGACACCATCATCATCACCATATCATCATCATCATCAACCTCATCATCATCGGGACACAATCATAATCAGCATCATCAACATCAACATCATACTCATCACCATCCGGACACCATCTTCGTCATCATCACGATCATCAACATAATCATCATGACCATCATCAACATCATCATCGGGACACCATCATCATCGTCATCATCATCATCATCGACATCATCATCATCATCATCATCGCGACACCATCATCATCATCATATCATCATCATCATCATCATCGTCCTCATCATCATCATCAGCAGCATCACCATCATCATCATCGACGTCATCATCATCATCAGCAACATCATCATCATCAGCATCACCATCATCATCATCATCACCATCATCATCATCATCATCATCATCGTCATCATCATCATCATCATCATCATCATCATCATCATCATCATCATCATCATCATCATCATCGCGGGACACCGCGGGACACCGGCGGGACACCGCGGGGCACCGCGGGACACCGCGGGACTTTCGCGGGACACCGGCGGGACACCGCGGGCCACCGGCCGCCTGGAAGGGAGACATTTGGTCCGGCCGCGCCTCAGCCACACGGGACACCAGCGGGACACCGGCGGGACACCGCGGGCCACCGGCCGCCCGGAAGGGAGACATTTGGTCCGGCCGCGCCTCAGCCACAGGAGACTTTCTCTCGCCCGCCCACGCAGCTTCGCCTCGCCCGCACGGCACGCACGAACACGAAACCGAAATCGATTTCCCGGTAGGGGGGCTCTCCGTTCCACTTCGATCTCACCCCCCAACCTCCGACAATTTGGGGCAAAGTCTGGAGTCGTGTTCGTGAGACCCGCGGGCACATTGTATTGTCTTTCGACAGGGACGGCGGGGGTGTCAGCATATTGCCTGATGCGCGCCGGGCTACCATCCCTGACAAACGCACTATAAATTGCACCTCGCGGCTAAATGTGGATAGTGCGCGGCCACCCCGCGATCATTGTCAAGTTCTTTTGTCAGGAACGGCGGGGGTAGTTGTGTATGGCCTGCTGTGCGCAGGCCCACCAGACACAATGATGGGCAGTGGTTTTCGATAGGGATGGTGAGGGCCCACATGTTTCCCGATGTGTGCTGTCATGTGCGCAGGCACACCTGACACACTCTGCGCGTGCCCCGGACGTGGCGGACCTGGCGCGGCTGGAGGGAGCATCTGGCGCATTGCCTGCTGGCTGCTTGGTTGTCAATCTACAGGATGCTTCAGGATAGCCACGCCTCATACGGAGTTGCACACTTCGGAGCATTTGTTCAATGCAGCTCATGTGACTGCTGCTGATATGATTACGCATTTGGCATTACTTCCGAATACGAAATGCTTTGGCTCTGCCAGTCATAGCTGGGTTATGATACAATGTTTTGTTGATGCCTCTTTGGCGATTCGACCGTACACGAGATCATAGACTTGTGTTTTGGATTCCCTTGTCGTCGGCCCGTTGCCAATAAGAGTTTAGAGTGATTGATCCGTGAAGTGGGGTTCCGACTGTCACCGGAAGGGACAGCAAGTTTCTATGTTGTACATGTTGTATTGGCGTTATGGTTTCGCGATGCCTCCACACACATATACATATATATATTTGCATATATATGAATACATATATATATATATATATATTCATATATATATATATATGTGTATAGATATACGGAAGGGCGCGCCCGCAGCGCCGAGACTTTCATTATACACATATATAGATATGTCTATGGGCGGCACATGCACTCGTCCACCTGCGTTATCATCCACAGCCGGAGCCATGGTCATAGAGGATGCTATTGGGTTGGCAGCTAAGTATAAGAGTTTCACAGCCAAGTACGGCAAGGCACAGCGCATGTTTCACGTCTGCGTGTAGGCCTGTCACGGTAGTTGGTCAGAGTCGTCGGACAAAAACCAAAAAATCTGGTCCGAAGTCCGGCTAAATCCAGTTTAATCCAGCTTAATCCCGCGTAATCCGGCTTAATCCCGCTCAATCCCGTTTATTCCAGCTTAATCCTGCCTAGTCCGAGGCCCACTCCAGCGCAACAGCTCCCAAATGGGGCTTAATCCTCCGTAATCTTTCCGGCGAAGACCTCCCAGTAGTTGCCTCCTAAGGCCGCCTGGGGCATCGATCTTCGGCAGCCCTGGCAGGCGGTGCATATGTGGGTGTGGCCGCCCCCCCCCCCCCCCGGGGGGCCAACAAGTGTCCAGATCCTCCGCCCGCTGGGGGGGAGGGGGCCCAGGAGGCCGGCCCTCCGGGCGGGGGATCTATGGTTACGTCGGGCCTCTCCCTCTACAGGAGGAAAGTTTCAAGAACAGCCAAAAAGTTCACAATCCAGGAGCTACTTTTTGAGCATAATTTTTAACGATGTTTGGCTATCTTTTGGAGCACTTTTGTTTCTTCGCCCAAAATCCCCTTGTAGGGCGACAGGCCCGATGTAAATCTATGGGTAGATCCTGGCCCCGTATCCGAGGGCAGGCCGCCCACCTGGCACCGCAGCCTCTCCATGGGCGCGCCGCCAAGCCTGGCCTCGAGGGGCCGTCGCTCACGAGCGGGCATGTGCCACGCCCCCCATGGGAAGTCGGAGGAGCAGAAGGTCATGAACATGAGGCGTTCGAGATTGCCAGGAATCCCCAAAAGAGTTTCGGATGTTCCACGGGGGCAGCAGAGACGAAGGCCTGAATTGCATCCTGAAACGCATCCTGGATCAATCCGAGCATCACATCGACATCACTCCCGTCCTGGGAAGACCTCGCGCCAGGTGCTGGGTTCCCGCCGCGCGCCTCTCGGGGGGGCAGAGTGCCGCCCCGCGGCAGACCCAGCAGGGGCAGTTTCGGTGGTAAGTCATGGGAGCATGGTGTACCTCAGTGTCGTTCAACCGACCCCTAGCCCCATCCCCATCCCCATCCAGAGCCCCACAATCTTACCACCCCCGTTGGGGGTATACCCCTCGAAACCCGAAGGGTACGGCCTACATCCCTATCTAGGGGGGTTAATCGTCCAGTGGGACCCAGGCTACGCCGTTGGGGATAGTGGTCGGATAAACGATACTCAGTGCCCTCGTAGCTCGGTCTTTCGAGTGCACTAAGGTCGATTAGCGTCTGGTAGTCGATGGGGAAGCGCCGATGTAGCGTCGATTTAGCGCCAATGTAGCATCGATTGGCGTCAGCTGGCGTCGATTAGCGTCGGTGTCGATTAGCGTCGATTCGCGAGAGCCAACAAGACTGTATACGGGGGGCTCCCACGAGCCGACGGACACGACCGGGCGGCAGGCTCGGCCTGGCCAGTAGGGGGCGTGCTGCCAGCGCCTCTCGCGCCCACCGGAGCGTGTCTCATCGCGGCCGCTTCGAGCCGCGGCAGCCCCGCGACGCAGAACTGGCTCTGCTCGGAGGTTCGACAGGTGGCGCCGGGCGGCCCCTCGGCGTCTGCTGTCTACGTTGCCGCACGGCCTTCGCCGAGCGCACGACGAATCGCGCGACCTCGGTGAGCTAGACGGACACGCATTGCGATACGACAACAAATCGGGACGATCGAAGTCGGTACGGGAAGAATGGATACGAAGACTGACAGCAGTTCTTGCCCATGTCCAACAGCGGCCGCCTTTGGTTTGGGACCGCATTTGTTGTTAGACATTGTGCCAATGTGTTCCGTACCCATGGCGGGCGTCCAAAACAAAGAGTTGCAGTAGTGAGTCATCAGAGCTTCGAGATCTATTGCAGTAACGTGGGTCAGAGAAGAGGCTTCGGGTCCTCTCGGGAACATGTCTGACTTCAAGAAGTCCCGCACGTCTTCGCAAGAAATCTGTGTGCCCTCGGGTGGTTTGTTGTTGGAGAGGCAGCCAGAGAGAATCTAATGACACCTTCCAGTTTCCTCCGCAATTTGCAGCACCGTCGGAAAACTTGACGGAACGGGCCAACAGACCTTACGATACTACCACAGATCCACCCCAGTTTTGATAAGGATTTGCAGGCGTCTTGCGACCAAGAGTCGCATGGCCGCAGCCTGGAAGTCTGACTTCTCCTGCCCTTGCGTGGCCGTCGGTCGGCCAAGCCATCCCGGCTGCCGGAGAGGCAGGCGGCAGGCACACGCGATAAGACAGTTCGCCACCAGGTGGCCCCCGGGAAACATCTGACTCCCGGACGTCCTCGGACACCCGCTGGAGTTTTGCGAGGTCCAAGGTCGACCGAGCAGTGTGTCCCTACAGAAGGTTCGCGTCGTGTCGACCATCGGCGACCCCACCGCGGGCGTTCAAGGTTGAACGCCGCCAGTGGCCCAGAATAGGCCTACACAGAACGATCGGGCGATCTTAAAGCCGCCGATCGTTCAAGGTTGAACGATCCACGGGGTGGTCACGACACGAACATGCCGTGGATTTCTCTCTAGCAGGGTGTATGAGTGCGCGTATCTATTTCGAAGCTAACTTTCGTCTACCGGGGAGTCCTTGAGGGTTGGAGAGGAAGATTGGGAAAGGACGAAGGCACGAGCCACGAGATAAGTATCAGGAGAATGAGAAGGAGGAGCCTTCAAGCATGGATCTTCATTCACCTTCCGCCAGGCTCCAACACTTTCAGGAGCAGCTGCGCTCCCTGAAGGCGGAACGGAAGAGGACCGCCCGTGGCATGCAGGAGCCGTTCTCCCCTCCAGACTCAATTTCGATCCGATTGATCCGATTCGATGATGATTCTTACCAGCTCGATCCGATTATACCATGGTGTCCCGACGCGGCCCGATGCTTGCGCATGGGCGCTATTGTGCAGCCTTGCGCAGCCGATCCGATTCGGTTTCGGCTCCGTGCCGATGCAGCCCGATCCGACGCACATTCCAGTACGGCCCGATTTCCCGACTCGATGCTCCGAGGTCCTGCTCCCTCCCCATGGGCCCGCTCGGCAAGGGCCGGGGGTGGGTGGGGGCACCTTGGCGTCCCTGGGGCGTTGACGGCCCGCCGCCCAAAGCGTGCCGGCTTCGGCGGCCGAGGCCCCCGCATCCTTGTCGCCCGCCCTTTTCGCAGGTTGCGAAGGCCTCACGGCCTGTGCCGCCGAACCTCAAGGACGACGACCACGACGACGACGACGACGACGACGACGACGACGACGTCGTCGTCGTCGTCGTCGTCGTCGTCGCCGCCGCTGCTGCCGCCGCCGCCGCTGCCGCCGCCGCCGCCGCCGCCGCCTCCGCACGGGCTGCGGAAGGGCAGTGGTTGCTGCGGCCGTGCCTGCAGCCGCTGCGTGTTTGGGCTCGGCTCCCGCCTACTGGCGGGCGCGCGCGGGGCCTGCGCGTCCGCGACGCCGAGGAGCGCGGCGTCCTCGCGGGTCGGGCCCGCGCCGCGACGCCGACGATGACGCCGACCACGACCACGACGACGACGACGACGACGACGACGACGACGACGACGACGACGACGACGACGACGACGACGGCGGCGGCGGCGGCGGCGGCGGCGGCCGCGGCGACGACGGCGGCGGCGGCAGCGGCGGCGGCGACGACGAAAAACATGCAACGACTCAAGGAAACCATTGGTTTTGCCCCCTCGGGGTTGCCCTGGGAGTCGCCCGTCCTTATGGCAGATGATGGCTGTACGTGCTCGCCGCGCAGCGGGGCCGACGTTGGCCCGCGCGCGCCGGCCCGGGCTGCCCGCAGGAGCAGAGGCTCCACGAGGAGCTGCGCGACGCGGAGGCGCCCGTCCGGCGGGCGCTGGGCGGCCGTCGCAGCGTCGCCGCCCCGCTCGATTCACCAGGGAAGTCAGACCCACCGCCACCAGCTAGGGGAGCCATTGGGGATGGAATTCCATGGAGTTCTGGTGGTGGTGGCGGCTCTTTTTGCTTTCGTGATCGATGCCGAAGGATGAATAAATTATTCATCCTTCGGCTTGCGAGATGTGGTTCCCACGCGCCACTCCATCGATGCCAACCGTCATCACCGTCCTTCCCCCTCTCTTCTAACTTCCATCTGACCCATCATCATTCTCAACCGTCTCTTCCCTGGCTCAAATCCGCGTCACATATCCTCGGCGCCCTCGCCTCGCGCAGCCCTTGATCAACGTCATTTTCCTTTTTGAATTACATGCAAAGTGAAATTTCCAAGTCACATTTTACTTGGTTTTTCAATTCGTAGGTAATTCAATTCTGTGGTCGTTGAACTACATGAATAACGGCATGCGGTCAGGAACTTGTGGGTGGCGCGTCGCTCCACCGGTTCTGCCCCACCACACCTCGGCGCGACATGCTCTTCACTTCGCGGTCTCCAAGCATCAATGGTCAGAGCCTTTCCCGGCCGCCCGCCCCGCAGAGCGGAGCGACACGCCATCCACTCGCAAGGCATAGCGTGTCGCCAGGGCCGTGGTGGTGACACGCTCAACAGAAGCTCAGGATCGCACCCCCCTGGAGGCCACACCTCTGGCGGCTGCGCAGCTTTCAGGGGCAACGTTAAGGGGGGAGTTTGCATGAACTGCGCCTCGTCGCGGTGCCAGAACCGTGCCGAACGGCCCCGGAGGCCCGAGTTATGGCCCGAAAACTATGGAGCGGAAGGTCAGCATGGGCGGAGGATAGGCTCAGGGGTTCCTGTCGATGTCGACAGAGAAAAGACGGCTAAGCCTCCGGCTCTCGATTTTCAGTGCCGAGCAGATCGCTCTCGCCCCCAGCCTTCGCCTGGAGGTCGGACCAGGGGCCCCTCCTCGCCATGGCTGGGCGGAGCAGCCAGGAAGACCAGCTCATCGCGGCAGCGGGCGCGGCCGTGGACGACCCTCCAGCCCTAGGCTCAAAGAAGGAACGGTGGCAGAAGCACAATTTTGCGGAGCTCCGCGCAGATTATTTGGAATGGCGATGGCAATGGGCCTTCCTGGCGGCGCCTCCCGCGCCATCCGTGGCGCGCTCCGCGCGCCAGGGAGGGGGGCCCAGAGCCAATCCAAGAAATCTGCGCCGACATTTCGGAAGTGCATGAGGATGAGGGGGAGGAGGGGGAGGAGGAGGAGGAGGAGGAGGAGGAGGAGGAGGAGGAGGAGGAGGAGGAGGAGGAGGAGGAGGAGGAGGAGGAGGAGGACGAGCGGGAGGAGGAGGAGGAGGAAGAGGAGGAGGAGGAGGAGGAGGAAGAGGAGGAGTCCTTCCACGAGGCCGCACACCTCGGGCGGCTGCGCAGTCCCCCCCTGGACGGCACGAGAGGGACGCGGTGGCTATGAGGAGGCGGCAGAGGAACGCAAAAGAGCATCCAGAGGAGGCCACGAGGAGGTGACCTGGATGAGGTGGAGGTGGAGGAGGCGGCGGAGCATGTGGTCGAGTTGGAGGAGCAGGAGGAGGCGGCGGCTGGGATTAGGAGGACTAGGAGGAGCAGGCGGCGGGGGAGGGCGAGGAGGAGGAAAAGGAGGAGGAGGACGCGGGGCACCGTCTCTTCAAACCGAGGACCTAACATCACAGGATGGTTGGGAACTCGCAGCTTACTTAACATGGGGCGGGCAGTGCTCTCTACGAGTTTCAAGCGGTATGTGGCACAGGCAGAAGCGATGGAATGGAGTCCCGCGGTGTCCGCAGTGACCACAACGATCATCCAAAGATTTACGGTGATAGTGAAGGCGAGCCAGAGGCCAGTAATTGCCTCCCACAAGCGAACGAATGGCTGCTGCTATGTGTGCCGCGCAAGCCCTCGGTGCACTCCATGGCACGCACAGCGGCAACATGGGGCCCAATGAAGAGGTGAGGTACAAGCACCCTCCATCCTACGAGGAGAGGCTGCAAGTGCTGAGTGCCGGGCCAGGTCCATGACGAACCCAGGAGTGAACCCGGTCAAACTGAACTCTCAATAGGGAGGGTCACTATAGACGGTGGCATTGGACAGGGTGGTTCCAGCACCAGCCACAGAAAGCAGCGCTGCCTGATCAGGGTCCAAAATTTGGAACCAGGGCCGAGGCCTGGAGAGGATCCCGCGGGTGACTTCCAGGCAGACCATTGGAGGCCTGAGCCCAGGCAGCTGGGAAACATCAGAGACCAAATGCTTTGCCACATCTGCTGTGTGAGCCACAGACGGCTCCCTATGAACACCCCTAGACGTGGCCCTAAGCATTAGAGCCACCAGGGCCCCTGGGGGTGCTCTACACTCCGCGCGAAAAATGGCGAGGTGGAGCGAACGAAGCTTCTGCTCTGAGGTGCCAGCGACAGCCGAACCCCAGACCGCCGTCGCCGTCTGGGACCCCCTCGTTATCGCGCTGGCACTGGCACCAGCTCCTCTTAATTGTGCGGCGCGCTGCGAGACTTTCTTGGCCTTGGCTGGACGCTTGACCTGTTCTAGCACAGACCTAGAGCCTCCACTGCTTGCATCGGTCCCCAGGCGCCTGCCTGAAAACATGCGCTGTTTGGCGTGCTGTCAAGTCCCAGAACAAGGCCCAGAATGACCGTTGGGTCCTGCCTTCTAGTATCTGCAACAGGAAATCAGCCATTAGATATTGGAATCTGACATGGGGACGCTTCAGCCGCAAGTTCTTTACCAGCGCGTGCACCAGCAACTTGGCGAGAGCCATGGCATCGCTGCACTCTGTGGCGACAGTACGATTCGCAATATTGGTTTCCGAGATGATCGACTTCCGGACAGCCGTGCGAGGCAGACGGTAGTTGGAGCACAAACATTTGAAACATGTCATTGAACAATTTGTGAGCAGCGTTTCCATGAATCGGTCCGCTTGTGAGATGCGCCCGTACTCTGCGCACACACATATATATATATATATATATATATATATATATATATATATATCGGTGCGATGTGTGTATGTATGTGTATATATATGTGTATATATATATATATGTGGTAGCTGTTACGTCTGAGTGCTGAGCAGAGACGGGAAATCGGACGAACTCTTGTTGCGTACGGTTGTGCAGTGCGTATTCATACTTGTGCTCAAAGTTTCTGGGGGGCACATGGAGGCTCTGTTCCTCGAGGTCACCCGGGGCGTTTCGACCGCCCTTGCAGTGCGATCGTCAGCTTGCCCTATCCAGACTGCACCTGCAATTGCGCGCCTGCGCTGGCCTGCGCCGAGGGCGCGCTGCCGCGGGAGTTTGAATAGGAGACGGGCTGGGAGTGGCCAGGGCCGTGGGCCTGCCTCTCCTTGACTGGCCTCGGTGCAGTCGCCAGGGCCTCGGCGGTGCTGCCGGCGCAGCGCTGGCTGGCGCCCCCTCCATCGGCGGCGCCGACTTCGGGCCTCGCCGAGATCGCGGGCACCTCGCCCGCCCGGGCGGACCTGCTGCAGGAGGCGCGCGCGCAGCTAGCGGAGATAACCGCTCGCCGCGCCGCGGCCCGTCAGGCCAGACGCCACGGCGGCTCCCCATCGGCTCATCGCGGCCGGCCTTGCCGCGGGTGACTTCCATGCCGTCCGCTACAGGGTGGGGTGGCGACGCCTTTGGCACCGCCGCCTGGCTGTGGCGCTCGTGCCCAGCGGGCCCACCGGCATCGGCATCGCGACCCCGACCTCGAGGAGTGCGACGAGGATGTGGTCGACCACGCGAACATCACTGAGTAGGCGATGCTACCTCAGGGCGCGATCGGGGCTGCGGCTCCGGCGATGGGCGACAACAACGTCTACGATTTCAGGCGCGTCCCTTTGCGGGCCGCGGGCGAAGCAGCTCGAGCCGCGGCGTGCGCGAGGCGGGGCGCCGTGCCGGTTGGGCCCATCGTGGTCCACCTCGCTGGGCGCGCGGGGGCCGGCGCGCTTGCGGGCGCAGCCCTCCCTGCGACCGGCGTCGCGGCGGCTGCGGCGGCTGGGGGCCCTGGCGGCGGAGGCGGCCTCGCTGGGCTGGCGGCTGCCCTTGCGGGCCCTGCCGGCGGCTCAGCCGCGGCGGCAGCCGCCCCGGCGGCCCGCCGTCGCCGCTGGCGCGGGCGCCCCGCCAGTTGGGCTTGGGGCCGCGGCGGCCCTCCCAGGCGCGCTCCCGCGCCTGCTGCCCCAGCGGCGGCTGGTGCGCCTGCGGCCACGGCCGCAGCGCCGACGGCGGGTGCCCCTGCGGCTCTGGCGGTAGCTGGGCCTGGAGGGGGCGCTCGGATCTTCGGCGTGGTCGTCGATGCGCGCGGGGTCCGCCACGCTGACTTCCGCGCGACCATCGCGCGGATGACCGAGCCCCCCTGGCCAGACTGGCCCGCCCGCGCGCGGTCCGCGAACGCTGCGGTGGGTGGCGGAGATTCATGGCGCAACGGAGCGGCACGCCGACGGCGCATCATCAGAGGTGGCTCGCGGAGGCGGGGCGTGTCTCTGCCGGGCCACGGGCTGCGATCCACCAGACGGGTTGCGTCGCGCTCGAGACGGCCATCAACTACGACCAGGAGCACGCCGCGAACCTTGACCATCTTGAGTTCTGTTCCTGGTGGAGCCCGACGATATCTCAGCTGCCGACAGGTCGACCATGATGGGTGCGTCGAAGCTTGCGGGCCCTGCGCGCGTCTATCGCGCCCTTCGCGAATATCTCGCCTCGGAGCTGCAGTGGGGGATGGCGATGGCGATGGAGCGGAGGAAGGCGCGCGAGGAGCGCGCTCTCTTCGGCGGTCAGCCCGGCGGCGGGCGCGCAGGGGGTGGCAGGGGCCGCGGCGACCGGCGGGGCAGAGGCTTCAAAGCCGCAAGCGGCGGCGCCCAGCCCGCCAAAGGGCGGTCGGCCTGGCCCGCCCCCCCCCCCCCCAGACCTCAGCAGGCGCCGACAGCGCCGCCTGCCTTTCGGGCGAGGACAGGCCCCCCTCGAGAAGACGGTCGACATCGCAACCTCTTCCCGCCGCCGCAGTTCGCAGCGGTTGACGCGGCGTCTGGCTTCTCTCGCATCCGGCGGCGCGCCCGGGTGGGCCGCGCCCTCGGGCGCGCGCTCGACGGGGCCAGCGCTGCCGCGCATGCGCTGAATTTCCTGCGCGGTGACCTGTCCTCGCCCTAGTCGGCCAGTCCGGCAGCAAGGCGGCGCTGCGCCGTCGGTCGCATGCGTGGCGCCATCGCCGCCCTCGGCCACGAGCCAGACGAGCACCGCGACGACGTGTCCGACCCCGACGGCGCCCAACGGGAGCTCTTTGCAGGGCCCGCGTTATACCAGGGCGGCAGCGGGCCCGCCATTCCCTGCGAGACAGACCTCGCCCCCTGGCCGGATGCGCTCCAGGCCCCAGCGCCGCCCCTTGGGCTTCTGGGAGAGCGGGGCGCCGCCGCGCTGCTGGAGTGGTGACGTCTGCTTCGAAATGCGGAGGGGGGCGCGCCAGCTTCGGGCTACGGCATGTCCGCGCGGGCGTTTTGCGGACCGCGCCCATTTGCAGTCGCCCACAAAAGTGCCGAGTTAAGGGCGCGATGGCCGAGCGCCGCATGCGAGCGCTGTCTCTTGCCCAGGGGCGGCGCGGCAACGTGGGGGTATTTTCTGCGCCTAGGAGGAGCGGGGATCTGAGGGTCATCTTCGATGCGCGGGCGGCCGACTGCTCTTTCGTCGAAACTCCGAGGACCCGGCCGCCTTCAGCCTCGGCCTCGGGCCGCCTCGAGGCGTGCGACGCGCGCCTCAGCGTCGCCTCCGCTGACTTGGGCGTAGCTTTCCACCGCGTGCAGGTGCTTGATGGGGTGGGGGAGTTTGCCACCTTGCCCCCGATCTCCGCGAAGTACCCGGTTCCGCTCGGGCGCGCGGAGGCCAGCGCGAGGGGTGGCGACCTGCTGCGGCCGCAGGAGGCGGCGACCCCGATGGGCTCCAGCTGGGCCATGCACCTTCGTTAGACGGCGCGGCGAACATCCCTGCGCCGAGCTTGCTTCGGGACAGGGATGCCCGCCCGCGCCGCCGCGCCGCAGAGGGCCTCGCGGGCGCCGCGGGCCGAGTCGCAGAACGCGGAGGCGCAAGGTCGAGGGCGGCACTCAGGCGAGAGCCCGCGCTGTAGGAGTGGATAGAGGAGACCGGCGCCGCCGCCGCCGACCTCGACGACCCCCCCTTGTTCGACAGCTCGCTCAACGCGCGCGTCGGTCCCGGGGGGGATGGGGCGCAGGGCGAGCAGGAGCGTTCGGCGCTCGATCCCCGTCCGCCCGTCGACTTCGAGGAGGCCCCTGGTCTTCGTCGAGGGTCGGGCCCACGTCCTAGCCCTGGAGGGGGAGGCTCTCGCGCTTGGGAGTCGCCATCTGTCGCGCTTCCTCGCCCTCCCCGACAACCTGCCCTCGGCATTGTGCTTCGGCGCCGGGCCGCCCCCGACGCGTCGCGCTCGCCATCTCGGACCTCCTCCTGCGCGACGGGAACTCCCAGCTTGCCGTCTGTGTCCTCGTCTTGCTCGCGTGCAACCTCAAGCTGTGGGGGGGGGGGGGGCGGCGAATCTGCGCGGCCGCCGCTTGATAGCGCCGTCAGCCTCCGCGGGGGCGGCCCGCCAGCACTTCGGGCTGCTCCTGCGCGAGGGCGGCAAGGAGCCTGGCAAGACGGGCGTGGACGACGAGAGCATCCTCTTCGACCTCGAGGGCTGGCTCTCCCCGCTGCTGGCGGCAATCGAGCTCTGCGCCTTGCCCGAGCAGCCGCCGCTGGGGGAGGCGATCGCGCTGCTGCAGAAGCTCTTCGCCAGCGCCTGCCGGGAGCTGTCGCTGCAGCGCTTCCGCCCGCGCCTGCAGCGCCCGCTCCGCGTTGGCGCCTCGGGCGACATGTTGTCGCAGCGGACGTCCTTGCCCGAGATCCAGCGTCGCGGGCGGCGGAGGTCCACGACGAGTCTCAGCCGCGACACCAGGGAGACATGGCTGCTGGACGAGCTCGCCTGGAGCCCGCCGGCCGCGCAGGAGCTCGGGGCCTTCGTCGAGGACAACCTGGTGGCGCTCGTCGAGGGCCTCCTCTCCGCGCTGCCGGCGACTGGCCGCGCGCCAGCCGGGCCCGCCAGCCTGCTCTCGGAACGCGGGCCATCGCCACCGGCGGCGAGTCGACGGCCAATGGCGGCGCAGGCGGTGCCGTGGCGGACGGTGGCCCAGACGCCATCAGGCGGCACCTGCGGCGGCAGTGCCAGCGCGCAGCGGTCCCTGGTCGCCGGCTGCGGCGTCGGCCTGCGTTGGGGCTGTTCTGCGGGGCCGGCGCGAGCGCTCGTGCGATGGCGGCGTTGAACTTCGCCGCCTTTGGGCTCGACTGGGGCCGCGGCCCCCTGGGGGGTCGCGCGGCGACAACGTTCCAGACCGTCGACCTCGGCTTGGTCCGCGGGCGCCGTCTGGCTGGACAAGGGCGCTCTGGCGGCCGCTGAGATCCATTCTCCATCCGCTCGGCCTTCCTGATCTAGATGCCCCCACGCAGGCCAGACTTGAGGCTGGCAGCGCTACCTATCGCTTCGCGCTGAGGGTTATCCGCGCTGGTATTGCTGTCTGTGTGCCTGTATATTTGGGGAATCCACGGACCTCGCCCATTTGGCCCAGCCCCGGGCTGACTCGTCTGTCCACTCGCTTGCCGCGACAATGGATGTTAATGCGACCTTCGGCCAGACGGACCTTCGGGATCGAGTGAGGGCCATCAAAGTTGGTTTCTGTTGCCGGTGGCGCCCGAGTCCGCCGTCTCATCATGCTTCGCGTCGCCTGTCCCTGTCATGTCCCAAAACAATGACGACCCCGAGGCGTTGCTAGCTGGTAGTCTTGACGACCGGATGCTGAGCAGAGAGGGGGAGTCGGACGAACCTTCGTTGATTACGATTGTGCAGCATGTGTCTCGTAGGCCTGCGTCCGTTTTCATATGCGTGCTCTAAACTTCCCATTGCCATCTCGTTGTGTCTACTTTGGATTACTCTGACAAGAGTGAGGGCCATCAAAGCGGGTCTCTGCTGCCGGTGGCGTCCGAGCCCCTTTTTTACCAGCAGTTCGACGATGCTTCGCACCGCCCGGCGCTTTCATGTCCAAAGCAAATGATGGCCCCGAGGCGTTGCGAGCTATGCATATATATATATATATATATATATGATTGGAGAAGATTCCAGTACAATGTGTTCATTTAATTTAATTATTTGAGTTGGTGTAATTAATTAAATACGAATAAATTAAATAAATTAAATACATAGAATTAATTTAATGTATGTAATTATTTAATATGGGCCTCGTGATTAATTAAATAAATTAAACTAATTCTTTTTATTTTATGTATTCAATTTATCTAATTTGTTTTATTTATTTAATTTATTTTTCCGGTCTCCTTGCCGGAGATGCCGGCGAGCCTCGGCGGCGGCCGAATTATTTTAATTTATTTAAGTAATCCTTGTAGAATAAATTAAATAGTTAAACAAATTAAATAAATTCAGCGGCCCCGCGGATCGATTGGATCTCCGCCAGGGAGGCCTTAAAAATAAATGAAATAAAATAAATAATTTAATTAAATTAAATAAATTGAATACATAGCATTAATTTAATTTATTTAATTATTTTAATATGGCCCTCATGATTAATTAAATAAATGAAATTAACTCTATATATTTAATTTATTTAATTTATTGGAATTAATGTTCCGGCCTGCTTGCCAGAGATGCAGGCGAGCCTCGGCGGCGGCCGAATTATTTTAATTTATTTAAGTAATGCTTGTAGAATAAATTAAATAATTAAATAAATTGAATAAATTCGGAGGCCCTGCGGATCGCTTGGATCTCCGCCAGGGAGGCCCTAACAATAAATGGAATAAAATAAATAAATTAAATAAGTTAAATAAATTGAATAAATAGAATTATTTTAATTTATTTAATTATTTTAATCTGGTCCTCATAATTAATTGAATAGATTCAAGTAGTTCTATTTATGTAATTTATTGAATTCATTTAGTTTATGTAATTTATTTAATTTATTTAATTCATTGTTCCGGCCTGCTTGCCAGAGATGCAGGCGAGCCTCGGCCGCGGCCGAATTATTTTAATTTATTCAAGTACTGTCTCCAGAATAAACTACATAATTAAATGAATTAAATAAATTCAGCGGCCCTGCGGATCGCTTGGATCTCCGCCAGGGAGGCCCTAACAATAAATGGAATAAAATACATAAATTAAATAAATTAAATAATAAAATAAATAGAATTAATTTATTTATTTAATTATTTTAATCTGGCCCTCATGATTAATTGAATAAATTCAATTAGTTCTATTTATTTAATTTATTGAATTCATTTAATTTATTTTATTCATTTAATTTGTTTCATTTATTTTTCCGGCCTCCCTGCCGGAGATGTCGGCGAGCCTCGGCCGCAGCCGAATTAATTCAATTTATTTAAATAATGCTTGTAGATTAAATTGAATAATTAAATAAATTAAATAAATTCGGCGGCCCTGCGGATCGCCTGGATCTCGACGTGACTCGCACCGTTTACGTGCAGTCTCCCGATGCGAGTTTCTGGGTTGCACGTAAGAGGTACGAACTCCTTGGCTGCGCGCGCGCGGCGCGAGCTCCTGGGCTGCACGTAAACGGTGCGAAACAGAGGGGCGCAGATTCACATTTTTGTTTGTACTTTATGTGGTGACGTTGCGTTCTATTGGGTTGTATTGTGCTGCGTTGCGTTGCGTTGTATTGCGTTGTGACGTTGCGTTGCGTTGCATTGCATTGTATAGTATTGTCTTTTCTTGCACTGTTTCGAAACAGGCCTGGGAGGCAAATCGCTGAAAACAGGCCCAGGAGAACCGCCGAACCCTCTGTCTTGTACCGCTTACGTGCAACCCAGAAACTCGCACCGTTTACGCGCAGCCTTTGGGTGCGAACTTCTGGGTTGCACGTAAACGGTACGAGCTCCTGGGATATCGTAAACGGCACGGGACAGATGGGTGCAGATGCGCATTCCCGTGTATTCTATGTGGTGACATTGCGTTGTATCGGGATGTATTGTACAGCATTGCGTTGCATTGCATTGCGTCGTGCCGTTGCGTTGCAGAGCATTGTGTTGTATAGCATTGGATTGTCTTGCATTGTTTCGAAGCGGGCGTGGGAGGCCAAGCGCGGAGGAAAAATCAGAAAGGTAGCTTCGCCGTTGTTCCGGCCGCGCCCTGAATTCGGAATAGCGTTGTCGCCTCTGCGCTGATTACTAGGTCAATTTTCGCAACCCCTTATCCGTGCGACCACAGGTGTTTGCAGCGCGCGCCCTCGCAGTTAATCTTGTACGTCGCGCCTGTTATCGGCGCATTCCGCACTGCAGCCGTATCTCTCTCGAGATATATAACCACTTTGGCGTGGCTCGGCATTGCCGGCCTGTCATCATACTTCTTGCGTGGCTCGGCATTGCCGGCCTGCTACTTCCATTCTCCCGTTCCTGTTCGTGGCTCGGCATTGCCGGCCTGGTCTCCGCCATGTCGCCTCAAATCGTCATCTTCTATAACGTAGTGATGCCTGATCGCCCGCCCCTTCAGCGCGGCGCAGTTGATCTGTTCCAACTCGGTGTGAAAACCGAAGATTGGGAATCTGGATTGCGCGGCAACGCTTCGATCTCGGACGCCTGGGAGTTCGGCGTGCCCCTGGAGGCAGGCTTCAAGGTCGGCGACAGGGTCTCCCAGGTTCTCTCCGTGACCGTCGCAGCCAGCAGCCGCGAGATCATCCGCCCGCGGGCTGACGGTCGCCCCTGCGTGATCCACGGCCGCAGTGGCACCCTGAAGATTGCGAGAGGGTTCTGCGTCTCCTGCGCTTGCGCGGTCGAGGCGGACCGCGCCGCCGACGCCAGGGCCGCTCTGCAAGATTTCCCTTCGGGTCAGCGATCGAGCCTGTTTGCCCTGCTCCGCGGTCCCGCGAGCATGGGCATCCGACTCGCGCTGGGAAGCATTCTGGACTCCATGGAGGCGCAGCTCCTCAGTTGGAAACCTCGGATCAAGAACAACAAGCAGGCGCTGGACAAGGAGCTGGATCGTTGGAATGGTCTCGGCCGCGTCCTCCAGCGCGCGGCCTACGGCGCCCCCGTGCAGCTGGGGCGGTCGGACTTGGAGGAGTTCGTGGTGTCTCGGGATCCTTGCCGCTACGGCCCAGGCGTCGGACTGGGCCGAATGCTCGGCGAGCAATGCAGCTGCGGAATGTTATCTTTCCGCAACAATGCGCAGAAGCACCATGGCGACGTCGTCCCGGAGAGCATGTGGGCTGCGTATGTCGTGCACCAGCTGAAGAACAATTCCATCCACGCGTTCCTGGCTGGCGAAATCACTTACTCCGGCGCCGGCGACGTCCTCGTGCCAGACTGCGCGAACGACGCCGACTGCAGCGTCGACGTCTGGGACACATTGATGCTGGACCATCCCGTCTTGGACCCTGGCCACGTTCGCGATCACGTGGCGCTCGTCGTGGCGGAAGAGCAGATGAGGGCGGTCGCGGCCGCTGCGGCGGAAAAGCAGACGGGGGCAGGCGCGGGTGATTTCCCTGCGCTCGCGGACGGTGAGAAAGGATTTCTCTTCGTCGAGGCCGTGGAGCGCGGTGAGCTCCACCTGTGGTTCGCGACCGCGGGCACTGACGAGCAGCCGCTCCTGCGACTGCAGCGCGGAACGTCAATCCGCGGACGGGTATTCGTTTGCATCGGCGAATACGTTGGCGCCGAGGCAAATGCTATCTCAGCCTTGAAGCGCAGCCTCCGCACAGATCCGTCGCCGTGCTGCAGGTCGCTGCTGCCGGAGCACGGCGCGGCCCGCGCTGGCGGCCAGCGCGGGCCCAGTGTCTTCGAGCAGATGAGCCCCGAGGAGATCCGCGAGCAGTCCGTGAACATAGGTAAGAAGTTCACGGACGCGCAGATGCAGTTCATCAGCCGCGCACTTGACCGAGAAGACCGCGGTATTGCACGGGCCCGTTCGGGCCCAGATTGCGGTGATGTCTCAGACGTGTATGTGATCAGTTGCCCAGACTCCTCTGTTTTCAGATCAGATTGCGAGGATGTCTCAGGCGCAGCGCGGATTTCAGCTCCTCGAAGGGCAGCCGCCAGCGGGTGGGACACTCCACCGTTCACCTTCAGATTCTCGGATGTCCAAGACGGTTTGCTTGTTTTGTTGCCCAGGCCCCTTCTTTCAGAGCAAGCGTACCAGGACGCCCGTCAGGGTGCATCGGGGGCGGATGGGGGCGGCTTCAAGGCGGCCCGGGAGGGGGGCTCTGAGGGGCCTCTTCTGAGCCCCATCATGAAGCCATTCAAAGCGCCTCAAGAAAACATTATGAGGCCCTTGAGGACTTCTCAAGAACCTCTGAAGAGGTCACTCAGCGCGTGCCTAGAGCCTCTCGAGAGCATCTCAGGACCCCCTTGGGAGCCTCACAAGAGCCTCTCTGGAAACTA